CAGAGAGACAGAGAGACAGAGAGAGAGGGGGGTGGTAGGGCTTTCTCCATCATGCAGGGATGAGCTGGAGGTTCCAACTGAACAAAGACAACAAAGTTTGCCAACTCTTCTAGGTTCATGGGGACAGAAGCCTCAGCAGAGAGCATTGAGAGGACCATGATGTACTATGGCTTGCCATTTATTCAGGAAGCTGATTTTCCTTTCAACAATTACTTTGCCACACTGGACAGCCTTTCTGGGCACACTGTATATGAAGTCATCATATCCTGGATGGAGAACATGCCAGAAGGGAAGTGGCCTAATTGGATGGTAAGCCCTCATGCACAGCACACAGGGATCTGTTGTACTTGCTGGATGGTCACCTCTAAGGTGAGGAGTGTCTTTGTCCCTAGGTGACCTTACCCAGGGTTAGTGGTTAAGTCTGTCCAAGCTTCTGACAAGGGCTATCTTAGGGTTTCTGTTGCTGTGACAAAATACGATGACCCAAAAGCAAGTTGGGAAGGAAAGGTTTTATTTGCCTTCTGCTTCAGCAGTTGAGGTCCCTTCCTCTCAGATGACTCTAGCCTGTGTCTGGTTGACATACAACTGTCCAGCACAGCAGCCATGGTGGTGAAGGCTCAGTTATCCAGCAGGTAGTGGGCTTGGAACCCATTTCTGTGTTTGCTGATACCAGCATTTCCAGATTTCTGCCTGGGGAACTTCCTTTTTCAAAAGGTAACTCTCTTATGAAATTGTGTGTGGAGCTATGCTCTTAAACTATATGCCTTTCAGACTGGTGGACCAGAGGCTACCCGGCTGACCTCTCGCTTGGGGAACCAGTACATCAACGCTATGAATATGCTTCTTTTCACACTCCCAGGGACACCCATAACTTACTATGGAGAAGAAATAGGGATGAGAGATATTTCCATTACAAATTTCAACGAAAGATATAATACTGTAAGTATGATACATTGTTAGCTATGGGCCGTGGCTACACTGCCAGACAATTTACCACTGCTATTTCATTACTGAATGTCATGGTCACTTTTTAAAAAGAAAAAAAAAAGTTTCAAACTTTAAAAAAGAATTTTTTTATTTATGATGTATACAGTGTTCTGCCTGGCCAGAAGGGGGCAGCAGATCCTACTATAGATGGTGTGAGCCACCATGTGGGTGCCGGGAATTGAATTGAACTCAGGACCTGGAAAAGCAGCCAGTGCTCTTAACCTCTGAGCCATCTCCTTGGCCTTTTTTTTTTTTGACTGTTGACAGTAAGGGTTATCAGCTTCCTTACTGAGAAGGTGGCTGAGACATTCATGGAAGTAACAACTTCTGAGCCACACAACCAAGCTTCTTGGATAAAACGAGGACCCTGCAGATTCTGAGGCAGGCTGACATCTGAGGACTGGTGACTTACTTTGCATACTATTCAGTGTCCTCTCCCACAGGCAGGAACTCACCTCTGGTTTTTGACTTGCTAGTAAAGTGACCACAGCATTGCCTTGTCCTGTTACCATTGTGTGGCTTTGTTTTTGTCTGAGGCTATGGCTCTCATGATTGAGTTGCTGGGTAGATGGCATCCTGACTGTTTAAATTGTGCAGTTGGACTTCACTTGTGTGAGATATAGTTTCTAACTATTTGGTTATAAACGTTTCCTCCCAGTGGCTCACTGTGTGTGGGTGTTCACGTGCAAGGATTCGGGTGGGTGCAGGAGCAAGCAGAAGTCAGGGCCTGCCAGTGTTCTTGACTAAATTTTACAGCAGGATGGGGTTTCATGAATTGCTAGTGCAATATTCTGAAATCCTTTTTTACTTTCTTAAAATAAAAAAAACCCAGCAGATTCTAAACATATGAAAGTTCAGTTAGGAAAGTGTTATTTCCAAATGAGGAGATTATTCACTCTTTTTAAACTGAAAGCATGATGCTGAGTGACAGTGTGTGTTAAGGCTTTTTCATCATAAGTGCCAGCATCAGCTCAGAACTGAAGGGGCTATCAGAGGTATCAGAGGCAGTCAGGAAGGGTCCAGACAGATTTCTTGTAATAAGCTGATCATTGCTTTCTCTTTTTGGTCTTTTGATACAGAATACCCTTCTGTCAAAGTCACCGATGCAATGGGACAATAGCTCAAATGCTGGGTTTTCTGAAGGCAATCACACTTGGCTACCCACAAATTCTGACTACCTCACTGTAAATGTGGAAGTAAGTATCAATGAAAATATTACATTGGTTGTAGAAATAGGGGATGAGTTTCCACATGGGTTACCAGCACCCAGGCATTTGTAGCACCTTAATTAAGTCTCTTGGAATCCATCATGGACTAGTCTAGTGATTTTCAAGCGTTTGGAAGTTATGTTTTTGGTAAAATATGACCTGTTACACAGTGTCCCATATGAAAAGTCATTTACAGTATTCAGGTGTTCACAGAAAGGCCTGTCTCTCAGAGTTCACAGCTGTGATGGAAATTCTACAGTCTTTACAGCAAGCCTAGCTATCCTTTCTCTGGAACTTAAATAAGTGGTCACTGAGTTTTAAGGGATTAGGAGCCAGGCATACATGTGTACTTTCTAAAACACCAGGGGGTGGGGAATGCATACCAATTGGTATAATAGAAATCTCTTAAAAAGGAGAAATCCCTAAACAAAAGGATAATGTAATTATGAATAAAAGATAAAATGTGGTTTCAGGAGGATGTTGAAAAAGGCAGTCACATATATGAATGGGTTGAATTCATGCTAAAAAATACTCAGATTAGATAAGACAAAAATCCAGATATGAGACAGCTAAAATGATACAAATAATTAACAATACTGCAGGCAACTGTAATGGAAAAGAAGCTTGCAATTTAGCTATCAAAAGAATGTTTATACTTTCTAACTGAGAAGTTTTACTCTTAGTATCTGTATCTACCAATATTCATGTATGTGCAAATGATAAATATGCAAGGGTCTTGTTTGCAAGAGCAGAAGTGTTAGAAATGATGTGTCTATCCAACAGAAAGCCAGTCCATTGGATTGTGGGACTAAGGTGGAGCTCTTGAGACAAAGACTAGCTGCGCTGGAGTCAGCGCTTTTAGCACATTAGAATACAGCACAGGTTGGGGCTGTGTCACCGTCTGCATAAACACATCTACGTATTCTTGTAGAGGCACAGGGTTACCATTTCATGATACCTAAAAAGGAAGGGATTCCAACAGCCATCATGTCCTGTCTATCTCTGGAAGGAACTGGGGGTGGCTGAAGAAACCTTTGCCTTGTATATTTCTTGCAACTCCAACTTATACTATGTGTATACATCTCCTAGACAAAAAAAAAAAAAAAAATGACTTACAAAAGGCAGGCTTGGAAATATTTAATAGCAGACAAAATAGAATTCAATATGAAAAGCATTATGTGTTAACAGAAGCCTCAATGTATCAAACAAGTATTGTGAGAGACTCGAGAGAGACAGACAAGTCCAGGATTATAGGGAAAGAGTTCAAATGAAAGCAGATGAAAGGAACAGCTCACTGGGCACCTCCCACGAGAGTGGCACTAAGCTCTGATACTCATGTATTATCTAAAGCTACCGAGAATGACAAACACTGATGTGTCCCATATACACAGCACAATCACTGTTTAATCACCCGATAAACGGAAGGAACATTTTTAAACATCCATGAGATAGTCACTAAGTACACATTATTAAGCATCTACCTGAAAACAACGACAGTAACAATGACAAACTCCACCACCACCCCAGGAAAAGTGGCTGGCAAGAGTGTAATGAATGAACATTACTGCTGATTTGGCAACAGCTCCGAATCGTTTGGTATTATGCATTGAATGTCCATATCTTTGACACAGCAATTATCTGTCTGATAATTGATCTTAAATAAATAATATAAAACATGGGAGGAGGGGATTGAAAATGTAAGAAAACACTACAAGTGCACATGTTTAAAAGTAAAGGGGATGGAAAAACCATTCAACAGAACATTACCGGCCATTACAATGACATCTGTGCAGACAATGTAACAGAAAAATGCTTTTGAGGAAAAAGAAAAAGAAGAAAGAACAGTAGTAAATTAGGTATGTTTTATATAGCTGTAAAATAAATCCAAACCTTGAATGAACAAAACTACTTTGATGGCCAGGGGTGGGGTCGGGTTGGGGAGGTAACAAGAAAGCAAAGAGTCTAGAGTCTTAGGCTCTACACAGTTTTTCAGTGTTTTTCCCATTACCAGCGATTTAAGAGTCCATGTCTGTTGGCCCCAGGATCTCTGTCTGCACTATAGAGCCCTTCATGTTATCCCACAGCCAAGAACAGCTAAGTCCCAATGCATAAGATGCTTTTCACCTCCAGGCATCTGGCAGTTACAACACAGCACAGTGACTTCATTCCAGCAATGCCCTCAAGTGGGGTCAAATTTGGCTTCTACAGCTACTCTAAGATGTGGGAGCACTGTGCATAATGAAATGACTCCCAGACAAGCAGAAAATATGAATTGCAATTCCTATGACTTTAGGGTAAACTATAAATGCTTATAATTTGGCAATTATTTACTTTTTTGGGCAGTTATTTTAAAGGGCAAATGGAAGCAAATTTTTTTGGGGGGAGAGGGAAATAATTCTTAAACTAAAACATTTATGTGATTTTTTTTTTTTTTTTAAAAACAGGTCCAAAAGACCGAACCAAGTTCAGCGTTGAGGCTGTATCAGGATTTAAGTCTACTCCACGCCAGAGAGCTGCTTCTCAATAGGGGCTGGTTTTGCCTTTTGAGTGTTGATAGTAACTTTGTTGTGTACACAAGAGAGCTGGATGGCATAGATAAAGTCTTCATTGTGATTTTGAATTTTGGAGAATCATCAACTCTGCTAAATCTACAGGAAATCATCTCAGGTCTTCCTACGAAACTTAGAATAAGATTAAGTACTAACTCGGCCTCCAAAGGCAGTGAGGTTGACACACAAGCCATTTCTCTGGAGAAGGGAGAAGGACTCATCTTGGAACACAGCATGACGACTCTCCACCACCACCAAGCAGCTCTCAGAGACAGATGCTTTGTCTCCAATCGTGCATGCTATTCCAGCACACTGGACATTCTGTATACCCTGTGTTAGGGGTCTCCATTTATGGGATGGCCACCTGCATCTAGTACATCTTAACATTACATACAGCACGTTGCTGAGCAAGCCTCATGAATGGTCACCAGTTCTTACATTTCGGTAGCAGGAATGCAACTGTTTTAGGGGAGATTCTCAAATGTTGGAAAGAACAATAAAGTGTTTAAAAGATTCCCCCCAAATTCTAAAGCATTTAAATATGAAGAATGCTATTCTTTTCTTTAAGGTGGAGTTGTGAAAACTGAAAGGTGACTTACTGTCACAGTGTCTAAAGATGTTTACTAGCAAAGAGGAAGGACGAGGATTGGTAAACTGGACAAAGAAAATTCTATTAATAAGCACGAACCTGTTCTGACTGGAAGGGAGGCCTGGTGGTCAGTCTCCCACCCAGTCCTGGCTCCTTCTCTACATCCTACTAAGGAGTGACCGAAACCTGCTCTCCCAGGCTAGCGGGTATGTGCTGGTATGAACAGTACAAGCGAGAAGCATATTAAGCAAAATTTACACGAAGAAACAACTTTAAAAATTATGTAATAACTTAAAAAAATTCACTTTTGCTAAACCAACTGGAAATAAGACTAATTATTTCCATGTGTTTCCAGTTCTCAGCTAAATGCAGCATTTCAGAATTTTAGGTATTTCTTAAGATCCTCGAAAGCATTGGTGCTGTCAAGTCCAAGTTCCTCATACAGGAATTTCATCTGGGCTGTGATCTAAAAGAAACACACCTGAGATTAGACACGACTGCAGTGTTCCAGAGTTCCCGAGTCTGTGTATGCAAGCTAACATCAGCCTGCAGAGCAAACACATCCTAACAATAGGACTCAGTTACCCTTAGCAGACTTTAGCAGAGCTCCCCTACTGGTATGAGCAGCATTGAGCAGGGCCCCTTCCGCTCCTGGCCTGACATTCATGCAGCCCCTCTGCCAGAAACTCTGCCTTGAGCACCGAAGGCCATACATCTACAATGGAGGACTCCATCAACACCCAGGTGATGAACAGCATACCTTTTTGTGAGAATCCTCTATCACATGGTTCCCTCCGGGCTGGATGTCTAAAATAATGTTGGGGGGCTGATAGCCTGGAAGAGTTAACATACAAGCAATCAGATCGCCAGAAAACCGAAACCCATCCTGCCCTTTCCTTTTGAATACTCAAACAGCAAAGGGACAAAGAACATAGCCACTATCATTACCACCAAAGAGATGGCGGCAAGGGCAAAAGGCACCTAATGCTGGAGGAAGCTGGGTGCCTGGACTGGCACATAGAGAGAAGGCTGTGACCTATGACCTGGGGGGTGGTGGTCAGTGGCTGTGACCTGGGGAGGGAGCAATGGCTGTGACCTAGGAGAGGTTCAGTGGCTGTGACCTGTGTGTGTGTGTGTGTGTGTGTGTGTGTGTGTGTGTGTGTGGTGGTGGTGGGGTAATGGCTGTGACCTAGAAGGAAGTCATTAGTCTGTAGAACCTGAGAGGTTGGGACCCTGGAAACACCAGCTATAGCAATGGAGTGTGAGAACTGCAGCTGGGTACAGGGAGACTTATAGGCAGGTCCCTCCCAATTCCAAACCCACAATATCTTGGTAGCCATTTTTAAGGCAAAAAGAAGAGTTGGCTGTGTGAGCTTATGTGCACCACAGGCATGCAGGACCCTCTGGAGCAGACAAGGGCATCAGCTCCCGGGGAACTGGAGTTACACACGGTTGTGAGCTGCCATGTGGATGCTGGGAACTGAACCTGAGTCTTCTAGAAGAGCAAGCAGTGCTCTTCTCCACTGAGCTATTTCTCCAGCCCCAGAAGAATTCTTATCTAAAGAGAATGAATGATCTAAAAGCAATGACAGACTGGATCAGTAACTGTAACATGAATGAATCATGTGTAGATCTCCTAGTTACACTGGACATTTACTTTTTGCTTTGAGTCCTGCCTGCTTTAACATTATCCCTGAAGAGCCATGG